ATTTCATTGTAATTTTATCATCTGTTTTTTAGAAATTTGGTTAATTAATTCATGTATTTTCTAGTACAGAAAATTATAATTGTTTCGATTATTTATAGGTTACTCATTGTTCAATTTTAAATTTAGTAGTAATAGTAGTACTAATAGAAGTAGTGTAGTGTGATCTACTTATATCCATATAAGTAATGTATGGTGATGATTAGACATAAAATGTATTTGGCAGAAGACTGATAAGGAAAGAACTGAAATTGGCAGGAAAATGCACAAACAATGAAATTAAAGAAAATGGAGTGATATTTATGGAAGTAACAGTGAAGATTGAGATAATTGGTTGTTATTTTGCAAATTAACTGTTTGCTGTTTGGTTATCAGAACTTTGTCAGATAGTCTGTGATTTGTGTCTGTAAACATTCGATTATCCCCATTCGTGTTCTCACTCACTATAGTAGTAGTAGTAGTACTAGTAGAAGTAGTAATAGTAGTAGTATTAGTAGTTAATTATCATTATAGTGAGATATAGTTTTGTGGGATCTGAATACACTATTTCATCTAAATGACATTTTCATTTAATTTAAATAAAATAACTTCATTAATTTTATTTTCGGTAACGCTATACATAACAGGAAACTTATGAAAGTTTCTTTTACTTAACTTGGTCTTAATTTTATTGAATAGAAGAATGAGTAAAGTTCTTGTTTAAAATATTCACTGTTCTACCAATTAAGAACCGAATGAGAACTCAACAGTGTAATAAAAATACTTAAATGTTGTAATAAGAATTCTGAATGCCACATGAAAGTAATGAATAGAATATATACAGCAGAGATGGATGGTAGCTAACAGTGATATCCAGGACGTGCTTTTCACCCTTTACGAGACTCATCAGCTGGATGTATCTGCATTCCAGAGTTGATGTTCACTTTGCTTATAATGCTTGTGATTTAAGGCAATATTGAGGGAATCAGCACAGGATGCATACATGCTAATAGGAGACTGCTCGATTGCACTCCAAAACATCAGTGGGAAGATTTAAACAAACAATGTAAAAAGAACATATACGGGATTATAAAAGTTAAAACAAGGTAATGGTCAGAGTAACAAGAAAATTAAATAATTTCAAACTACCTAATGAATAACACAACATGGATCTATATTGATGTGAAAAACAGATTAATGTTTTCCAAGTGAACTGTTTCTTCGATTTATAATTCACAAAGTATAATATGAAAGAGATAAAAACAGAGAACGGATTGCCATATTTTTAATGCATGATTACATTTAATAATCATTGTAATTACAATGACTCCCACAAAAATCATATTTGCATTCTATTAGCGTAAAAACATAGTCCTCTACTAGAAAAGTCTAACTAACCTAATATATGATTAATTGTTTATTGCTAGTATATCATTTAAATTTATCAGTATTTAACATGAAGTTCAATTAGTTTCATGTTCCTGTGAGCACGGAGAAATATGACGTCTAACATAAAATAAAATAAAATTGAATATTATGTTCTTCCTCATGAACAATAATGTAGATATTAATGAAATTTGTACATTTTGCAGTCAAATGAATTTTTATTTATCACAAAAGTCTAACACTAACATATCTAAAAGTGATTTCGATAATGTTAGGATATTTATATCCATAAGTTAATGGCTCCAAAGAACAGCGAACCAAACATATAATAGTAACTGTTATATATAATAAAAGGATTGTGTTTCTTACTGTTTGGGAGACATCATATGGATGTATCTGAACTCGTGTTACTGCTCACTCCAGGTCTCGAACGCAGTATATTTCATTTCTAATAATTATTATGTTATTCACTGATCGAATTCCATCCACTAATATCAGCAAGGAGATTCTCTGTTTAACAATTTAGTGGTTATCTGGGCTTAGTAACTCAGCGGACAACGAATTAGGCATTTGAAGCAAAGGGGACTGAACTCAATTGCCACTATGAGCATAAACACTGATGCCAGTACATCCAACTGACACATCCCAAATAACACGGAACGTGTGTCCTGAATTTCACTCCTAGCCACAATCCTTCTACCCTACGTAACTTTTATCACAATGTTTATATCAAGGCATGCCGAACAGTACACAAATATGCCAAGTTTCAGTCTCTATTATCAGCAAAAAAAATAACTCAAACTCTTATTATTAATGATATATTAGTCATTGGCTGTGGATCATTACCTCCTAACAACAAAACATCAACTTTAAAACATTGATCGACTACCTAACAGTAAACAATTTGTTCTTTACTCTCCCTTTTTTCATTTGAAATTATCGTCATTTAGTTTCTGATTTGGACTCGGTCCAATCCACTATGGTCTGAGAAGTTGGATGATATAATTCTTCCTAATTAGGGAATGATAACTTATAGCATATAAATTTTTCAAGTCAATAAACATAAAATATCAAACATCCTAATCTTGATTCCACTAATTAGCCAAAAAGTGTTTAAAAATTTCATTGCTGCTGAACAATAGTCACATCAGTCCCTAAAAAATTAACGAAACCTGACAACAACAAAACTTAGGTCAATGACTTCCTCCTGATTGCCAGTGACCACATAGTTTCAGTAACTATGACTGAATATTTATCTGAATAGTGTAATGAAGAGACAAAGATCATCAAAATTATGTGATATATTGTCATAATATATTCCAAACAATTTGATCATGAATATTTTTGTTAATCACATTTAAATATAAAATAAATGGTCAACTAGGCAAATGGAGAGTAAGAGGAAACAGAGATCATAAAGAAACAAATGTGAAACACAATATAAAGCTCACAATGGAAGATTAATTAGTGGCATACTTGACAGAATAGACTGGAAATTAATTAACGTGATTATCATTAATGCATGATTTTTTCAAGCTTTTTTCTAATCTTTTCCTTTGTTTTAGAAATGACAATATTACAAAAATTGGTGAATTTAATTAGTCTCCCATTGTATTGTCTGCTAATGAAAAGAAAACACTTTCTCCTGGTTTAATTTTTCTCTCCCTATAATGCAAATGTCTGATTTGGAGATCAGTGCCCAATTTGAAAATTCCTACTATCAACTGAGTACGCTAGCCCCTAAGTCTTTAAATAATCAAAGTTGGTGTGAAGCTAAACCGGTAGATATTGCGCGGAATAAAGGTTGATCAATTTTTGTGATAGTGACCAAACTCAATGTTTTCTCACGTGGATTATTTTCCCTAAACAAAGATAAAATTGGTGAATGATTAATAGTGGTTCTGTAGAAAAAAGAATAATACCTATTTGTTTAGGATCGCTCTCCTATTAATATATCCATCGTATCGATTTTAGTGTAGATAAAGATTGTCTCTTAATCTGAACTCAAGACTGTTAAAAGAACAACAGTACTAGAAACCACTTAAACATGATAGTTTCATGGTTTGTCAAGTAAATTTATTTTCATTTTAATTATATGTTCACTAGGTATGAAGACTCAGGTTATAAATAAGATTATGTAAGACACTTACGTTGCTGATATTGGACAGTTTTTTCCTTGTTTTTGCTTTTGGGAACTGTTAGGGATGTTAAATCCCTAGAACTTACTTGGTAAATGGCTTAATCTTGTAATTTTATTTTGAAAATTTGAATTTAGCTGTTTTCGCGCCAAAAAGCGCTCTTTTACCTTCACGTCATATTTCCCACTTGTAAACTATCTTAAACGCTATTGGTCCATTGTTTCTTTATGTGTGCTATTTACTGATGATGCCCAAGGACAAATTGTTGCTGTATAAATACGCTTGACTTTTCCCCTTATTTGATTACTGTGCTTCTGGCTGCTACGGAATATAACTTCCCCGCTCCAACTTGGACTTCTTACTCTAGTTAGCTGGGTCTGGGTCGCGTCAGTATAGCTAGTTATCGGTCTCTGGTCACGTGTCTTGTTCCGTTCGTTACTAGTGAATTCGTAACGCTTCAGACATATCAATTGGCGACGGTGATTTGGAAATATGGATCCTGCAAAAGTGGAATTATTGCTCGAACAGCAGATGACACTTATCAATATGCTAACAGAAACAAAAATTACGACCAATAGCCAATCAAGCAGCTCTAATCCTACGACTACTGCTCCTTCAGTTGATGGTATTGCCAGCAGTATTTCTGAGTTTCATTACGATCCTGAATCGAATGTTACGTTTGATATGTGGTTCCGACGGTATGAAGATTTATTCAAATTTGATTTTGCCAATCAAGATGATGCTTGGAAAGTCCGTTTGCTGCTTCGAAAGCTGGGTCCTAGTGAACTTGATAAATATTGTAACCTGATTTTGCCTCTAAACCCACGCGATCGCTCATTCTCAGACACTGTTCAGTCATTGAGCCAACAATTCGGAGATAATTCCTCACTGTTCAACACACGCTATCGATGTTTGAAGCTGACTATGAACGAAGACACCGATTTTCTGACGCATGTGGGCATTGTCAACCGCGAATGCGAACGCTTTCGGTTGAAGTCGCTAACTGAAGATCAGTTTAAAGCCCTCATTCTCATCTGCAGCCTCCAATCGCAAAAGTTCGGTGACATTAGAACACGGTTACTCAGTCGATTGGATCAAGACCCTAAGCTTACTCTAAATGATATTGCTAACGAATATCAACGTCTAGTTAATCTGCAGAATGACACTACCATGGTTCAACGTGGTGTTTCTGATCGCCGTGAAGTACATGTAGTCCAACAACAAACGAAACCTGTTAAACCCGCTCCAGCTTTACCTAGTTCGTCTCACTCTAACTCAGTTCAACAAGCAAAGACGAATCCTCCTGCTCCATGCTGGCATTGTGGTGCATGGCATTATGTTCGAAGCTGCCCGTACAAACAACATCGTTGCAGGAAGTGTAAAGCTGTGGGCCACAAAGATGGGTTTTGCGAAAATAAAAAGTCGAATCGCCCCAAAAGTACTAAAAAGTCTGCTCCCAAGCCGCGTACAAATTCGTTGAGTCTTGTATCATCCTGTCAGAACTCAACTCCAGGTGAGAGAAAATTTATTACCATTAATATTAACGGGCACCCATTTAGATTACAAATAGACACAGCATCTGACGTGACAATTCTTTCACGAAAATCTTGGATTAAAATGGGCAGACCACGTATGGTGTCAACAACACAAAAACCTCGTACAGCATGCGGTAGTTACTTACGTTTGTTAGGTCAACTACATTGTGAAGTGTCTTTCCGCGATTCGACGTTCGCTGGGGTATGTTACATTGCACCGGTTGATCTTAATTTACTTGGATTAGATTGGTTTGACCAACTGCATTTAGCAGACGTCCCGTTAAACACTGTGTATCAACTAGTAAAGCAACCCCATGACCCGAAAGCCTATTCACAGGAACTAGTTACGAAGTTTTCGACCGTCTTCCAGCCTGTTTTGGGTCGGTGCTCAGCCATGAAAGCAACGCTTCGATTGAAACCTGGGGTCAAACCTGTTTTTCGTCCGAAGAGACCAGTACCATATGCTGCATTGCAGAAAGTTGAGGAAGAACTTAATCGCCTTCAACGTGAAGGAGTTATTACTCCTGTCTCTTATTCCGCATGGGCAGCACCCATTGTTGTTATCAAGAAGGCTAATGGTACAATCCGAATATGTGCAGATTTTTCCACAGGTCTCAACACAGCCCTAGAACAGCATCATTATCCGCTGCCAGTCCCGGCAGATTTGTTCACTATGCTGAATGGCGGAAAGTACTTTGCGAAGTTGGATCTTGCTGATGCCTACCTACAAGTAGAAGTGGCTGAAGAATCAAGAGAGCTACTCACTATTAATACTCATCGTGGATTGTTCCAATATAATCGACTGCCGTTTGGAGTCAAGACCGCCCCATCTATTTTCCAGCAGCTAATGGATACCATTCTATCAGGTATCCCGGGGGTCGCGACTTATCTGGATGACATCCTCATTGTTGCCACAACGTCGGAACAGCTACGGGAACGCACAACAGCCGTGCTCCAACGCGTCAGCGACAACGGGTTCCGGTTACGCCCAGAAAAGTGCCAGCTTTTCTTGAAATCCGTGAAGTATTTGGGGTTCATCTTTGATGCTGCAGGTCGCAGACCAGATCCCGAGAACATTCGAGCTATAAGAACTATGCCCACACCTACCAATATCTCTACTCTACGATCATTCCTGGGATTGGTTAGTTATTACTCAGCCTTCGTTCCATCGATGCATGACATACGTGCCCCACTGAATTATCTCCTGAATAAGGATATCAGCTGGAACTGGACAAAGGAGTGTGAAAATGCCTTTTGTAAGCTAAAGACAATTATTAGTTCAGAACTACTATTGACGCACTACGACCCGTCTTTGCCAATCATCGTGGCCGCAGACGCTTCAGCCTTTGGGCTCGGTGCCGTTATTTCACACCAGTTCCCCGACGCGACAGAGAAAGCTATCATGCATGCATCCCGAACATTAACCCCAGCAGAAAAGAAGTATGGCCAGATAGAGAAGGAGGCTCTTGCCCTAGTATTCGCAGTGCGTCGTTTTCACAAGTTTCTATATGGTCGGAGATTTACTCTTCTAACGGATCACAAGCCTCTCCTTGCAATTTTTGGTTCGAAGTCTGGCGTCCCGGCCCACTCTGCAAACCGTCTTCAACGATGGGCCTTGATCCTCTTGGGTTATGATTTTGACATTCAGTATCGACGCACGCAACATTTTGGTCAGGCAGACGCATTGTCACGACTCATCAGCGAACACTCTACGACCGACGAAGATGCCGTTATTGCTTCTCTTTCGACAGAAGACCACGCACAATGCTACCTGATAACGGCTGTTCGTGCTTTGCCAGTCTCAGAATCTGAGATACAAACGGCTTCCAGAAACGACCCCATCATTAAGAAAACGATGAACTACGTCACCCATGGCTGGCCATCAACTAAACTTGACGGTGACATGAAGCAGCTTTACCATCGTCGTGACTCGTTATGTGTTGTAAGTGAATGCTTGATGTTTGGAGATAGAGTGGTGGTGCCAGAATCCCTGCGACCGAGGGTGCTGAAGCAATTCCATATTGGTCATCCAGGCATAAAGCGTATGAAATCCATCGCCAGAAGCTATGCTTACTGGCCCCTCATGGACCAGCATATCGTGGATCTAGTGAACAAATGTGCTCAGTGTCAACAAGCTGCAAAGTTCAATGCAAAGGTGCCGCCGGTTCCATGGCCACAGCCTGAGCATCCCTGGTCTAGGATACATGTCGACTTTGCCGGTCCAATCAACGGAACCACTTACCTTGTCGTGGTCGACGCCTTCTCGAAATGGCCGGAGATTGTTCCCGTCAATCCACCAACGACCACCCAGACTCTGAAACATCTGACTGAGTTGTTCGCACGAAACGGATTACCGGAAGTGATTGTATCTGACAACGGTTCGCAGTTCACCTCGGCGCAGTTCCAAGAATTCTGCAAACGCCTAACCATCAGGCATCTTCGCGCCCCACCTTATCACCCACAATCGAATGGGCAAGCGGAAAGGTTCGTGGATACATTCAAGAGGGCTCTGATTAAGTCAAAAGGGGAGGGGACGCCAGTGGAAACACTGTATAATTTTTTACTCGCCTACAGAACGACCCCCAACGACACGCTGCCGGAGCAGAAGTCGCCCGCAGAGATCCTCATGGGAAGACGGTTGAGGACCATTCACAACTTGATGCTGCCGAAAACCACACCACCACTAGTACAAACCACGTCCCGGAAGCTACCCACGTACAACGTTGGATGCCCAGTATTCGCTAGGGACTACAGAGCAAATCGTGATCCTTGGATCGAAGCACGTGTGGTAAGAAGGATAGGAGAAGTCATATACGAGGTTGAGGTGGGAGCAGACAGGTGGACCAGACATCTAAATCAACTACGCAAGCGATTAACGCTAGAGCGCCCATCGACCGGAGTAAAGATTCCGCTGGACGTACTATTGGATACATTTAATCTGCCGGCAGTCCCAACGCATGAAGAAACACAAAAGGTCGACCTACGGTCCCGAAGATGGTCACTGCGCCAACGGCGAAAGACAGTCAGAATGCAAGTGGACCCGAAGAGTGTGCGTTATTAAAGGGGGAGGTGTTAGGGATGTTAAATCCCTAGAACTTACTTGGTAAATGGCTTAATCTTGTAATTTTATTTTGAAAATTTGAATTTAGCTGTTTTCGCGCCAAAAAGCGCTCTTTTACCTTCACGTCATATTTCCCACTTGTAAACTATCTTAAACGCTATTGGTCCATTGTTTCTTTATGTGTGCTATTTACTAATGATGCCCAAGGACAAATTGTTGCTGTATAAATACGCTTGACTTTTCCCCTTATTTGATTACTGTGCTTCTGGCTGCTACGGAATATAACTTCCCCGCTCCAACTTGGACTTCTTACTCTAGTTAGCTGGGTCTGGGTCGCGTCAGTATAGCTAGTTATCGGTCTCTGGTCACGTGTCTTGTTCCGTTCGTTACTAGTGAATTCGTAACGCTTCAGACATATCAGGAACAAAATCGCTTTCATAGTTCATGTAGAAGTAAATGCAGTGTTATTATAATATAAATGGCCAAACAAGTTATTTATCCAATAGATGTTTATGTCACGCCACAAGTATCAGCTGGAGAACCATTACAAATCAGGGAGCAGTAGACAGCTATTTCGTTATAGTCAAGATTTCCTAAGCAATACATACGACTCCATATTGAGTTGAAAAATATAATTTCTTTAAGCTAATGAGTTAAGATCCAGAAGTTTATCTATTTGTTATGTAGCTCAGTCCCGGTCTAACGTCATTGTTACTATTCGAGTTTTGAATGTTTTCTCTCATGACTTTATTTCTAAACAGAAACTTAATTCAACGTCTATGAGGTATGTTCATGCACCTAGCAAAATTACAAATTGAGGGCTGTAAGATTAGTTGTTATCTGATTTATAAATCGCTCTCTGCACAGTCTTTTCACTGCAGATAACTTTATAAAATAGAACATCCTTATTTAGTCGATGTAATTTGGTAAACATAACCTTTTAGCACAATAATTACATGACATCATATTTTTTATTGTACGCAAAAGTTAGAAATTTAAAAATTCTTCAAATTCATAAAAAAATCTGAATTATTAATCTCAAGTTACATCGCTCACAGTACATAACACAAAAACATTTGATAAACAACGCCAACCGATACGAAGGTACAATATGCATACTATAATGCTTTTTAAGAGATCTCAAGATCTTTCAAATTTGATATCAAAAACTATTTTGATTTTGTAACTTCATCAGGTATACTCGAATTCAGTCGGTTTTGTGGAAATAATCATGTAAGACGTATTGCTAGGCAACCAAAGGAAGGAGTTGGCGTACATCTCCTTTTATGATTTGAAAAGGGTTTTTCAAGGTCAATACACGTCTCTTTTCTTACACGATCGATAGTGACCATATGTAAATAAAGTTAAAGTACTTAGAATATCTAATCTTATTCACTCACGCTTCTACGAAAGGATTAACTCTCACCTCTTACATTTAGCTACACTAAATTGGGCCTGCGACCTTAGCTTTTGTATTTGAAAGACTTTACATAACATCTTTTACTCCCCTGACCAGAGAAAACTTGACAAATGAACTTACTAGCTCTTAATAACCTTTGTGTCTTTTTTCTCTATGTCCTTAATATAGCTTGCTTACTTGCTCTGCATCTCAACTGATTGGTTACTCACTTCATATCCCGTAATTTTTAACGGCTACTATTTTAATAAGTTAGCCTTCCAAATGTTGAATACTAGTTCATATCATTCGGTTGTTTTATAATTATTATTATCATCATCATTACAATACCTGTCACTTTACTACCAATATTCACTACATATTTACTATGCTTAGTTATATAATCTCACTCTCTAATATCACTTACTTACAAGTAGTTTTTTATCGATTCAATCGATTTCATATATTTGTGCTGACATTACTAGATAGTAAGTTAAAGTCTAAGGAGCATCTAACTGTCAGCGGTATTGTTCGTGTATATGTTACAAAGTGATTCTATTATTTTTTGCTGTTTAGACCTAATTAAAATATTTTATGTAACTATTTCCAACGAATCTAATAACATTCATCTACACACTAATTATTACTGTATTTGTTGTTCGTAAATTTGTAACAATTTTATTGTATGCAGAAAAACAACGAAGGACAGTGTGCTATTTACAATTAAACGGAATATACCCATTGAGAAATAAAATAGAAAATACTAGTCCAGTGAAGAGTTCTCCTTTCAACGAATATTGTAGTAATATTAT